TTCTTTCTCTATTTCGTCACTCTACTGGGTTGTATAGTTGTTTGTATGCATATCTATGCATGCATCCAGCCATCTACCAGAATTTAATCTGATGCTGAATTTTATTTTTTTTCATTTTAATTGATTTTCAACGAATACAAACGCATTAAAAACTAACGCGTTTCAACGGTGAAAATGCATCCTGATAATATTCAAACGTTACAGATAGCGAACGAAAAAAGTCGATTCTTGTCGTACGTGGTAGCTATATTTGAAGTATGAATCAGTCATTCTGAGGCATTATGCAGAATTTGCATTTGCCGCAAATTCATTTTTTTACACATTAACTCCAACTGCCAACTCAGCGTTCCCCAATAATCAGAGAATAATGAAAATGCACAAAAGTGAGATATGCACTAAATGGTCGATGTTTATCATTACAATTGTGAGTTTCCTCGGTGTAAGATCGCTTTGCCGTTGGTGGCTTGCAGGATGTAGCAAGTATCAGTTTTTGATGCACAGAGGATTGGATGCCAAGCTATACTGCCTCATTTATAGGATGCTAGATTGGCTCTAGCAACGAACTGATATTAGCATCTAGTATTTACGGATACGCTTCTCTGGAAGTTCAAGCGTGAACGTTTTCTTCACATACGGTAAACGTTACCTTATCGGTAAAACTCACAGACGTACCTTAAAAGACATCAACCTTTCTCACTTCTATTTTTTCTCAAACAAACACATCGATGTTTATGTTTATCTTTTCGCTCACTAGGTCAGATCACAAACGATTACGAATTCTCTCTTATTTTCTGACTAATTCAGGTCACCATCTAGGTTAGATAACGATCGCGACTCACTCTCATGGCATCTTCCTCCCTCCCCCGACACCTCCTCTTCGACACTTTGGTACATCCAGGTATACGTTTAGAAAGAATAAACTCGTCGAAAATAGCTGGCATACAAAACAAATCAGAAATATATAAATAAGAAATTTAGGAACTGACAGCATCACACTGTTTGAATACATATAAATAATAAAGTCATAAGAAATCGACATGGTGACCTGAACTAGTCAGAAAATAACAGAGAATTCGCAAACACCTTTTATACACCAATATGCATTATTGTCATCCATTGCATACCGAAATGAATTCCCAGGGAATGCGAATTCAGTTTTTAGAAAATCAAATTCTCGTCGAATGTATATTTTCCAAGATATGCGCTCTGTCTGGAAATAGTACCTTGTAACCGGCAGGAATCCACTCATACTCAGGCTTGCCGCCCTTCCCCCTTCGCGCCAGTTTGCGGCAAGTGCATATTCTGCGTCCTATGCATTTTGAAGATAGTAAAAACGCTCGTATATCAACCAGAGATCGTCACAGGCCGGACTTCGTGGATCCTAAGCTTTCTTTGTCGAGCTGAAACGAGGTTTATCTAGTGCATACAAACGTTCAATCAATCAGTCAGTTTATTTTAACACGAATGTGTTTGGGATGTTACAGAAAAGAAAAACTTAAATGAATGTAACGCCTGTGCTAACGACGTAAGATCTTTGATGAAGTAAGAACAAAAAATCATGTAGGCCCAAAACTTTTCAAGATTCATCGGATCGGACGTGGGCCTCAGATTTTCTTGGCCGGACTGGGCCGAGCCAGAAATTTTCGATCTGTGACGATCTCTTATATGAACACTAAGACATTAAGACAATTTCAGTAGTATATTATTTTAGATATGATGTATCCCACTGTTCCGGACCGGTAAGTATATTTTTTTTCTTTTGAATTTAGGACACTGCAATGTATGAAATGTTTCACTTTATACTGGGCTTAATAATTTGAATAGAAATAGACGCATAAGCTTTCTCAGATAGCTTTTTATGTCATTGTTAAAGCACTTGAACCGCAGCATCAAAATTCGTGATTATAATAATCTGTTATTTATTATTGTTTTATTTTACCACACTAATCCATCAGAATATTGCGCAATCTTGATGTTTTCGTTATGAAGATAAAAAGCATTACTTCATGCTGCGTTATTATGATTTTTATATTTATTGAGATCTCTATGCGTAACGCTATTCGCGTCAATCATCACTTTCACTTTCTATTTATGTGCATTTTGCGTTCTTCTTNGCATCAAAATTCGTGATTATAATAATCTGTTATTTATTATTGTTTTATTTTACCACACTAATCCATCAGAATATTGCGCAATCTTGATGTTTTCGTTATGAAGATAAAAAGCATTACTTCATGCTGCGTTATTATGATTTTTATATTTATTGAGATCTCTATGCGTAACGCTATTCGCGTCAATCATCACTTTCACTTTCTATTTATGTGCATTTTGCGTTCTTCTTAAAGAACAAACGTGGATACAATTACCTTGAATGAAAAAGATGATCGCTATAAAGAAAGAAAAAGAATTACCAAACAAGGATCGAAATCAGAAAAGTAAGCATGATTTATTGTACTACGGTTAATATTTAATTATTCTGATCTACAAATTACATATATTATTTACTTTAATACGGAATAGATTGTTTAATTCAACTATCTTTATTTAACCCTTATACTATCAACCAAAACTCAAAAACACAAGAAAATGAGATGAAATTTTTTTGTTTTACATGGATCGAAGTATGAAATACGTTCTATTATATTTGTTGTGTCTAAAATAGGCTTGGGAGAACAAAGGTTAAAATATATAGCAAGTTTATTTTCGAGGTTATACAGACACCCTATCAGCTGCGATGTTCACATCACGTTTTGCTATGTTTCGATCATTATTGAGTCTTCCTTTTCAAAAGCTGTTTATGAGATTCTGATTTATCTTAGAACAAACTAGAGGGAGAAGACGAAAGTTTCAGGGACTTTTGTTATTTCGAAGATACAACAGTTGAAATTTTGTTTATAGCAATGCATTCAAGTCATGAACTAAATATCATTTTCAAAACTTTTTCAAACATTAGTTATCTTTCTTACGTCGACCAGAAGAAGGAGTGAGTGTAGAAAACTGCCCATGACCGCATACTTTCACGTCTATGTTAAAGGTTCCTAATAGTTTTTCACGCAAGTGATTAGGAAGCCTAAGAATCTTTATAATCAAAACTCAATGCGAAATTATGAGTCTAAAAGTTTTTTCTACTCTCAAATTGAAACTCATATACAAAATAGAACACTAGTCATATTTTAGTCGCTTGTTAAAGCGACGATTGAGACATATTTATAATGTCTTTTACTACTTGAGAATACTCTCTCTGAAACTTCAATGACTCGAATGCATTGCTGTAAACGAAATTTTAGTTATTGTATCTTCGAAATAATGAAAAAGTGTCTTAAATTTTTATATGATGAAGTAATATATTCTCTGATGTATTGTTTATTCAAGATCGACCCTCTAGTCATTATCTGTTCCATGTGAAATACATTTTAGATTATTTCACTCATCAGATTTTATTCAAACATGATCTAGTCGACGTAGCAAAAACAAAAAAAAACTGAAATTCTCGTTTCCCACCTTACTAATTTTGAATTTTTCTTTTGTTCACCAATATATTTCATCTAATATGAAATCGAAAATAATAGTATGCGCGGTAATATTATTTATTTTAACCGGAATGTATTCTGGTTGGAAAATTGCAAATGATGACGAAGACGATGAGATGAGTGAAAGAGATCTGGTACGGTTAAGTAGGTAAGTACTTATTCTTACGATCTGTTTAAACTTTGAAAACGTCAATATAAGATTTCTGTTGCGTATGTTTAGAATCTTCTTTGGTAAATGTGCCAATCATCATGAAAAGTGTGCGTTATTGTTTGGTAAAAAATGCTGTAAAGGATATTCGTGTACAAAAAGTCATATGTGCGGAGGAAAAAGGTGCTGTTTGTCAAGAACAGATATTAGTCAAGGCTGGTTGGCAGAACGAAATGGAAAATAAGTCGAAACATCTAATTCATAACACAAAAAATCGAGAGAAAAATATATTTTTTGTACCAGTTGTATTGATTCATTAAGTTTTGTTAAAATAGTAAATTTTTATTTTGCTAATAAATAATGCCTAATCATGCTGAAATCAGTCGATGATATGTTAAAAAAGAAGAGGATAATAGATCATATGTACCAGACTCACTATAATGAAAAAAAATCACTTTACAATAACATCAGAATGCGAAGTCGGACATTCTCACATATTTTACGTGCGAGATTTGTGATCACAACGTAAAAGTTTTAAAATTTGTTTTTTTTTCAAAATACATTGTTTAACATCTGTTGAACGATAAAAATTAGGAATTTCTTTTATATCTTCATATCATTTTGATCATCATCAATAGACGACTTTTCTTTTTTTTCTCTCTAAAAAGAAAATACATAGAAAGGTATGTATAATCTTCATCAGTATTTTTATCTTTAACTCATCTTTATTATTTTCAAAAAAAATGACCTTTCTTCTTTCTCTTTCTATTTCTCATTGATGATCCCATTCATACCTGACTGTATATGATTCAAACATACAAAAGTAGTTTGACATAAGTATACGGCAAATAATAAACATAAATTTTGATCTGTTTTGGAGATAATAAGAGATTAAAATAAAATTTAGCTGATCGATTTCAAAGTAAGTACAAAATTTCGTCGTAATAAACGGATTATATACTTATTGATTAATCTATGTGTAACATTCATCACTTCAACAAAAATCTTTCTTTTTATGTGTACCAAATAAGAAAGGTCAGTATAGAAATAATAAATAAGAGAGATTTTTATTTTCCCCACTTCAATCGTCGCATATATGAACTGACTTAAAAATTTGATTTAAGCTTCATTCTTTCGATATATACGCGAAAACAGATGATCATAATTTAAAAATATCACTTTAAAAAATAATAGATTACAAAATTCTATATTTTTTCTTTCCTTTTTCTGGAAGAAAGCGTGCTTATACTCGAACGGCTTTAATCAAGATCCTTTTCTAGGATTAAAATACATTAAACTGGCTATATTCTGTAGAACTTGAGATGTCTTTATTAAATGGTAAAAAATTGTTGGAAACAATCCCATATAATCACAATGAAACACGTCTACTAAAATTTCGTGACATCGTCAATAAATATGAAATTAATCATGACTTTGCTCTTCGAATACGTGGTCTCGAAGGATTTGAAATCGTTTTGATTTGTGATGATAGTGGGTCAATGTCAACACCTGTTATTGATACCACAAATAAATCATCGTCTCCATTTCATCAATTTCCATCTCGTTGGGACGAATTGAAACATACGGTATCAATTGTCGTTGATTTAGCCGCTACCCTCGATCCGGACGGCGTTGATATCTATTTTCTTAATCGTCAACCGATGTTGAGTGTTAAACAATCATCTGAACTTCAAGAACATTTTGCTATGAGACCACACGGTCTAACGCCAATAACAAAAATTTTAAGCTACGTACTTGAACAGAAACGATCACAGATCTATGATCGAAAATTATTAATTTTAATAGCAACAGATGGTTTACCAACAGATGAACAAGGAGCAATTGATCTTATTAATTTAGAAGACTGTTTAAAAAATGATCGTGGCAAAGAAATTGATCGTATTTATATCACGTTTATTGCGTGTACAAATGATTTAAATTCAGTGGGATATTTGAATGAATGGGATAAAAAAATAAAAAATATAGATGTTGTCGATGACTATGTTAGTGAAAGAAATGAAATATGGGCTGTTCAAGGGAAAAAATTTCCATTCTCCTACGGTGATTACGTTGTCAAGTTGTTAATGGGAGCGGTTGATCCATGGTTTGATCAACTAGATGAGAAAAAAGTAAAATTAACAGAGACGAAACCATTAGACAATGTCGATAGGCGAAAATCATTATTGGCAAAAAAAAATTGTACAATTTCCTAAATGTTGGTATCATATTTTTAATCGTAACTTATTTATGTAGTGTACAGTCGCTTAATAGTAGTGTGTTGATGGGTGACTGTGTACGTGATTTTGTCGCCTTTTTCAAACTTTTATTCTTTCTTACGTTTATCTCAACAAAATTTCTACTGTTAAACTAGAATCGTCTTTATTCTTTCGTTGCGAATCAGTTATGTCTGTTTCTATTTTTGATGTGTTAAACAATCTGCTGCATTATTGTTGTCTGCACAGTCAGTTTCGATTCAATATGAAGACAAAAAATCGAATACGGCAGTTTCTCCTGTGAAAATACTTTTTCTATTTTCAACTGTTTGTTTGCATACTTCCGAAACTCGTCGTCTTCCAAGCATCATTTCAGATTCATCAGATCCATTGTGATAATTTTTTTAACCTTTGCCATTCACTTCTTTACAAAAAAATGTATTGAATGTTTTATTATAAGATATAAAATCGAAAAATGAAGTGTAAAATTCAGCAAAATCGAAGAAAACGAGTACATAACGAAAAAACGACTTTTTTATTTTTATTTTTCAGTTCTTCGACAGTTGAAAAACATTTTGTAGGCAATAATTTTTGAAAAGTTCTAGTTTTGAGTTTAATCAAAATTTGTTTACATATTTTTGTTGTTTCTTTTTCAATTTTTCCGAAAAAAAATCAACATTTCTGTTCCCCCTCTTTAACGCCTTTCAATAAAATGCGAATATTTTGACCAAAAATATTAATTAATCCTTTGAGCTTATTTTGAAGAGAGATGATCTATCTGTTACAAGATTACGGTGAAGTTTAAATAAATTGCTTCCTTTTAACATAAGAAACGGGAAAGACCAAATATGAGCATAGAAGTTTTGTAACGTATCTCAGAAAGCCAGCCCGTCACACAGTCCTAAGCAAACATCACCTATGGGAAAAATCTAGACACATTTCGTCTGTAATTGATAATTCGAGGAAGTATCGAATTTTAGTTCATGAGAAGTGCAGCAAGCGCCACTGTCATTTTATAGTAGTCAAACAGTCCTGGAAAGAAAATTTCGTTGAAGAACGAAAATTTTTATATTTGTCTTAATTTCTGATCTTTCTAGTTTTTTTACCAAGCAAGGACACATGCCCCTCAGAGTTCTTTCAGGTATCTGCTCCTTGCTTGTGGTCTCTCAATGTTTCGACACAAGCCCATTCGGTTCTATATCGGTGGAAGTAGCCATCAGTGGGGCTACTTCCAAACGATGTATTAGCGAGTTTTATGCTTGTATCTTTTGATTATTTTTGATAAAATAGATTGGCGTGTTTCGCCCTGTCGCCCAATGGGACCTTCTATCAATGTCGGAACTGAGCCATGAATCGGATGATAAAGACTAGTTGTCATCTGGATTACTAGTTAGAAAAGAGACTTTACACTAGGTGCGTCTGCATGTGTAACTACCAATAGTTAAATCGATCGATTATCAGCCGAGAAACTGATAGTTGTAACTAGGAGAAATCTATCAATCGTCCGATTACCAGATTTCCCGGTCATTACAAAATAGTTGCAATCGAGTAAAAATCCAATAATCTAGATGAATTGGGCGATATATAAGGAGTGACATATAATCAAATCTGCTTTATACAAAAAGAGCATACTTAAAACTTACTTTAGAATATTTGTCTCAGAAAATGTATAACTGAAAACAATTCAGATATGGAAGAGAACAGCTTTTTCTTGTCCACTGCCTTTGCCGAATTTTACAATTCATCTTTCGATTTACATCTTATAAAAAAACATTCAATACATTTCATTTTTTTGTAAAGAACTGAATGGCAAAGGTAAGAAAAATTATCGTAATGGGCCTGAAATATGAAAAACACAAAAATATACTGATACGGCAATTCTTTACGACAAACCCGTTATGCGCTTGACTGTACAACTTAAACCAGACTTCTTTTCTAATAGTGGATAAAAATATAAATGACGCAATGCTGAACTTCACTTTTAAGTTTCATCCACGTTTAGCAAGTCATATATCTAACAGCAACTCCACTAATACAAAAAAACAAACGTTTTATTCACATACAGTCTCGAATTAATATAAAAAAGTATTAAATCACAAAAATATCGTCAGTGATAAATCTACATATGCTTCAGCACATAATATAAAATGAATATGAAAACTTCATTCACTTTAAAGCTCCCATCATCAGCGATGAATCGCAGGTCCCTGTATCCTAGAAGACAAAAAGAACTATATCAATCTCGCAGTCATATGCAAAAGAGATTCACTTACTTGAGGATGTGATGAAGTACTTGTGGTTGACGGTATATCACGGGCCACTGTATTCTAGAAGACAAACAAAACTGTAACACTTGCGGTACTTATCAATTCGTACTGAGAGTGGAGCCGAAACCAATAATTTTGCTGGCAGAGTAATAGTCATATTTCTCGGTTTCTGCATCAGCTATGAAGTCAGAAACGACATTCTCTTACGTAACTCAATGTGCTCTTTAAAACTAGACGGATTTTAAGTGAAGCGGACCAACTTACTGTAATGACGAAACCAGCAAACATACCACTAAATGTTCAAATTATCACGGAGAAATAATCATGTGTGATGCAAAGACAATAAGACGACTAGTCCTTATATAGGAAGAAGCTTTCTCTCTTCTTCTCTTATCTGAGGTTGTTATTGCGTATCATATCACCGACAGAAAAATAAAGTTCATTTAGAGTCACCAAAAAGTGCTTTTTCGTATTCAGCGTAGGGCTGTGACAGTTACCATTAGCGTTACAGTAACTGTAACTGCTGAACAGTTGACGTTCTTGGTAACGGTAACGGGTAAGCAGTTACCGTACAAGTAACGATAACGACCAGTTACAAGTAATGATACCTGTTCAGTATATCTTTCAAGAGTCAAATCTCTAAATATCTAGGTATCCAGGGTGCGGGTGAAAGTTTGTAGCCTTACCCTCACCCTGGATACCTAGATATTTAGAGATTTGACTCTTGAAAGATATACTGAACAGGTATCATTACTTGTAACTGGTCGTTATCGTTACTTGTACGGTTACTGCTTACCCGTTACCGTTACCAAGAACGTCAACTGTTCAGCAGTTACAGTTACCGAGTAACGGTGGTAACAGTAACTGGCAACTGTCACAGCCCTAATTCAGCGCACTCGATAACTCATAAGATGTTCTATTTTTGACAACGGGTACTGTCAAAAGTTTAGGAAAGATTTGAAACAAAATGGCGAAAAAAAAATTTCTATGGGAAATTAAATTTTGAAACAAATATTAATTTCTCGTGGAAAGTTTTTTTCGCATTTTGTTTCAAAATCTTTCCTAAATCTTTCCCAAATTCTTCAATCATTTACATTCCTCAAAGTTGTAGAGAATATAGTTCTAGTCCCACTCAATAATAATAACCTTAAGCGCTTTGTCAAAAAAAGGAAGAACATATTGTAAAATTCATCGCGGTACTCATCACGGGTTACTGTGTCCTAGAAGACAAACAAAACTGTAACACTTGCGGTACTTATCAATTCGTACTGAGAGTGGAGCCGAAATCGATAATTTTGCTGGCAGAGTAATAGTCATATGTCTCGGTTTCTGCATCAGCTATGAAGTCAGAAACGACATTCTCTTACGTAACTCAATGTGCTCTTTAAAACTAGACGGATTTTAAGTGAAGCGGACCAACTTACTGTAATGATGTGACTTTTTTCTTAAACCGTAAATTTTTATTCAAAAATACAGAAAATCGAGGTCACATGCTGTCAAAAAGTGAAGTAAAAATAAAAGTGTACTAAACAATAATCAAAAAGGTATAGTACATAATAACAACAATAACAGAAGAAGAGAGATAATGCTGAATAATGAAGTTTAGCAAGGAGGACAGCACAGAGAGAAAGAATGTTTCAATATGTTATTTAGTACAATCTAGTAGAAAATGCTTCGGAGACATGAAAAACCCTTTCCGGAACGCTTTACGGTGCTTTCGTAAACCTTTATTTGTTTTTTATGGTTTCAGTTTCCCGGACGCTTGAAGTGTTTTTTAAAATACAGATTTTTTTCACAGTGCAGGTGTCCTTCAAAATATGTTTAAGTACAAGTTTCTGAAACTCAATTTCAGTTCAAGACTGCTTTCGGACAACAACAAATGACTTTTTTCGAATTCTTTGGATGTATCAAAAGCCTTTCCATTATGTTTATCCTAAAACTCGCTTAAACAGCATTCAGTTCTCTTATAGAATTTTATCATATCTACGTATTTTGTTTTGCTATTACAGTTCTTGTTACACAACCGAAAAAATTCAGCGTAACCCTACATTTGAGCAATAAATATTTCATAAAATTAGTGTTAGAGAAAACTCTTTTGAAGTTTTCACATTTTCAGCACGGTACGACCGATCAATAAATTTACCCGAGACCAGCATCTTTTCGAATTGAATTTTCCTTTTCTTATACATATAAATATGACGAATAAATAAGAAATGTGTCGCGAAAAACCCAGACTTCAACTGATTGCTCATTTATGTAAGTTCTAGTTATTCAGATACTGGAAGAAAGTAATTACAATTCATGCAGGATCCCACACGATTTTACGCAACAACCCTGCGGATTGTGTGTGTTACAATATCCGACGTTGTTTCTTTCATTTACGCACACATCACTCGAACAAAAAAAATGAAGCTGACTTTGTGTTGCTGGAAAGTGCTTTCTCGTATCCAGTACTCTCGATAACCTAGAAGTTTTTCTATTTTTGATGAAGGGTACTTCTAAAAGTTTAGGAAAAATTTTCAAACAAAATGGCGCAAAAGAATTTCCATGGGAAAATAATATTAGTTTGAAAAGTTGTCCTAAACTTTTGGAAGTACCCGTCGCCAAAAATAGAAAATCTGCAGGGTTATCAAGTCTGCTGAGTACGAAAAAGCATTTTTCAGCAATTAAAACCAACTTTATTTTTTTTTCCGTTGATATGGGATACCTACATAATTCATGTAGAATTAGCGT